TCACAGCACAATCATCACCAGTGTCATTGCGATCAATTTGTTTCGGATTAATAAAAAATTCTCTAACTAATTAACCACCTTTTTTCTCCTTCCTTTTCGTTGCCTGTAAATTTAAGATAACCATGTTCACCATGATAATAGAAATCAACAGGAAGTATGTATATATCGTTCTTATTATCTTCGTGAATCATACATAATTATAATTAGATAATTTGTGGAAGGAATGTAATATACCATAATATTACTTGTGTTTGTTACATATTCGTAAATTCCATTTGAGAAAAATCTTCTTGATATGCAATAGCTCCTGGCAAACTTGGGAAATTGTTTGTTGCAGATAAACAGATATCTAAACCATACATGAATGAATTTGACGAAGTTCCAAATTTTGTTCCAAACATCTTCACGTAAATTGCACATTTGAGACAAACCTCGACAAGAAATGCATCATGAAACGTATCTTTAAATTACATATTACGTAATAATGTATGTACATACAAGGTCGAACCTCCTCAAGGTTGATAAAATCATTCGACGCATTTTTGCACTACTGCGAACCGAGTTATTAATTGTTATTGTTATAGTTAAAGTTGACAGATATCCAGAGGAAATTGTGCATTGATAGCATAAAGGAAAACAATTCTGCTTTACATTCTGCTTTACAGACAAATAGTTAACGAAACAAACACTCTGCTGTATAATCTACCAGTGTCTCCAGACTATACTATATACGGATATGTTTTCTAACGAATAGTGATCAACTTTAACGATCTCGGTCCACGGAGTAAAGCGATAGATATATTTTTTTGCTAGATTCGTTCATTTCGTGCAAATGTAGAAGTATATAGAAAATCACTTACATGTCCTCTATGCCATCGATGTGACTATTTTCCTAACGTAATCATCAAGGCCGCAGCACACACTTTTGCATAATAACACATAACGCATAGTGCATAAGCGAATCAACTAATCAAAATCTTTCCTTTCCTCTTGTTCCATGAAAAAGAAGAATTTTGATTGGTTGATTCCTTTATGCA